GTTGTGGTGGTGCGCTGGCGGTCGCTGGTCGTAGTGGTGGTGGTGCTGCTGGTCGCAGTCGTGGTAGTGCTGGTTGTGCTGGTGGTGCTGGTCGTGGTGGTGCTGCTGGTCGCTGTCTCGGTGCTGCTGCTCCCGGTTGCAGTCGTGGTGTTGCTGGTCGCTGTCGTGGTGCTGCTGGTCGTGGTCGTGGTCGTGGTGGTGCTGCGGGTCGCTGTCGTAGTGGTGGTGCTGCTGGTCGCAGTCGTGGTGGTGCTGCTGCTGGTCGCAGTCGTGGTGCTGCTGGTCGCAGTCGTGGCGCTGCTGGTCGCAGTCGTGGGGCTGCTGGTCGCCGTCGTAGTGGTGCTGGTGGTGCTGCTGGTCGTGGTGGTGGTGCTGCTGGTCGTTGTGGTGCTGCTGCTGGTTGCAGTCGTGGTGGTGCTGGTCGTAGTCGTGGTGGTACTGCTGGTCGCAGTCGTGGTGGTGCTGCTTGTGCTGGTGGTGCTGGTGGTGCTGCTGGTCGTGGTGGTGGTGGTGCTGCTGGTCGTAGTCGTGGTGGTGCTGCTGCTGGTCGCAGTCGTCGTGCTGCTGGTCGCAGTCGTGGTGCTCCTGGTCGTGGTCGTGGTGGTGCTGCGGGTCGCTCTCGTGGTGGCGGTGTTGGTGGTGGTTCTGCTGCGGGTCGCAGTCGAAGCGATGGTGCTGCTGGTCGCCGTTGTGGTGGTGGTGGTACTGCTAACCTCCTCGTGGTGCCCGCTGCCGTGTCGGGGGTGCTCCCGGCGCTCGTCGGAGCCCCCCGGGGCGGCCGTGCTGGCCGCGGCGCCAAGCATCAGGGGCGTGCTGGCAAGCGGCTAGCGGGTGGGCCGGCGGAGTCTGCGAGCAGCACTTCGGCCAGGTCTGGGTCGTCCTCCCCGGCGGCTCCCCCCCAGGCGCGGTGTGCTGCATTTTGGGCTGGCTATGTTGACGTGTCCCACGCCCTCCCCCGGTGCCCCGCCTTAGCTGGTCACCCGGCAATTTCGTGGCCAACGATTGCTCTTCCTGCCCCCTCTGCCCGCGCCCTCGCATTGTTCCAGCTGTTCAGGAGAGGGGTGCCTGAGAAGACGCGCGTGGCTCAAATTCGCTATGTTGCTGTAGCGATTTGCAGGGCGCACTTGGGATAAGCAGGGCGTGTGGCTTGCGTTCTTTCCTCTAGGTGCTGCCGCTCTGCCGCCCTCCCTTTGCTTCCGCCATCCTTGGCCCTCGCGATGCCTCTGGGGTGCCAAGGGCGCGCGCCGCATCGAATCACAGTCCTGGGCGTCCGGGTGGGCAATCCTGTTTCCGCCCTCGCTCTGTCCCCTCCTCCTCCTCCTCCTCCTCCTCCTCCTCCTCCTCCTCCTCCTCCTCCTCCTCCTCCTCCGCCTCCTCCTCCTCCGCTTCGCACGCCCTGGGGCTCCAGGGGCGCCCGCCGCACCTGGGCATGGTCCAGTGGGTGGGGAGGGCTCCTGGTCGTTGCCCAGGCGGCGGCGCTGTGCGATGAGGTGGAGACATCCGCTCGTCGCCCGCTAGCACTAGACCACTGCGAGAGGACAGCTGCCCGGGTGCTGCCGCCAGCTGCGCGCCTCGTCAGCCCCCCGCGCCATGTGTCAGCGCGCTGCGCCCCCTACTGTTGCTCCCGCTCTCCCTGTTGTCTGGCCTCGCCCTCCAAAGGCGGCGCGCGCTGCCGTCGCACCCCTCGGGTGCGGACTCGCCGTGTCGGGGCAGGGCCCCCAGCATGCAGGAGAGGGTAGGGGGCTCTGCCATTCGCTGCTGCTGCTTGCCTTCCCCCCGCGATGCTGCTCGTGTGCTGCTGGCCAGGCCCCTGGGCGACGCATGGATGCCCCTGGGCGGCCTGGGCTGGCGAGCATTCGCACTCCTTGGGCGGCCCACGATGGGAAGTGAAAGACCTCTACGAAACCGAAGCCACTTAGCGGCTCTCTCTACCGCCCGCAGCGTCCAGGTGAGGGCTGAGTGAGCCGCCGCGGGGGCGGACGGCACGGCGAGACGCGCCCGCGGGCGCGGCCGTGGGCGCCCGACCAGACGTCGCCGCAAGCGGCTGCCTTGGGGTGAGAAAGGAGGGGAGGGGAGGGGGAAAAAACAACAAAAACAACATAAAAAACTACATCCCCGGAGAACGCCTGGCCCTCCCTCAAGGACCGCAAACAAATCCTGGTGGGCGGGGGTCCAGCAGAATACTGGCCTCTCGGACTTGCCCCGAAGGGGAGAGAGAGAGAGAGAGAGAGGAGAAAAAAAAAAAAAAAAAAAAAAAAAAAAAAAAAAAAAAAAAAAAAAAAAAAAAAAAAAAAAAAAAAAAAAAAAAAAAAAAAAAAAAAAAAACCTCCAGACCGAGGCAGGTGTGCCTCTGCCAGCGACGGTCCCAAGAGCTCCCCTCCTTGACCGCCGACACATGGTCCGAAACAACTTCAAGGCCCCATGGCCCAACCTTCAAAGCATGGGGGGTGACCCACCAGCCACATCGCGTGGCCTCTGGGTCCCCCGACGCCAGGCCACTCCCGTCGGTGTGCGCACGAAACGAAAGCCCCAAGGTGCAGACTCAGCACCCGCGGAAAAGACATTTGTCTGAGAAGGGACTGCAGGGATCTCGACAGGGAAAGAGGGCAAACCAGAAACCAACTCAGGAGTGTCGAAGTTGGGAGGGATCCCATAAGGCTGCTCTTTCAGCCACCTCCTGTGTTCAAAGCAAGAGCCTGGCATGGCAGGGCTCGCTTGTGGGTCCCCCATCGCCGCCCACCTTGCCCTTCGCACTCGTAGAACTGATGACCGACGATCGCCGGAGTCACACTTGCTGCTAGACGCGTAACCATGCTGAAACTTGCGGGCTGGGGGCCACATAGCCCCTGACCAGAGGGCCCTGAGACACGCCCTACGGGCCCCTTTCAAGCCTCCGAACCCCAGCCGAAGAGCCCTGACCCAAACGACCTCATGCCCCTGGGCCTCGGGGAGACTCGACACAAGCTGGATCCCCAGGGCTCTGCTAATTCTTTCGCGCAGCAAATAATGCACATCTGAGGGAGGCGTGCGCAACAAAGAACAAAGAGAAAACGTCACTCTGGTCCGCCCTGATGTGATCAGTCCCGACGAGTTCCCGTCCAACTCGCCGCAGTGAGAGCATGGCGGCTCCGACTGGCCCTGTAACTCTGGACCAAGGCAGAGCCGCGAGAGCTGTAGAGGCCTGCTCCCACACACAGCGCATGTCCGAATCTTTTGCACGGCCGTCCCACACCCAGCAGCCTTAGCGATGTACGAGTGGGACGGTGGCGTCAAACACAAGATCATAAAACTTTTCACGATGCGTGCACAGGTACGGAGTCACATGACTACGATGCGTGCAACGAGCAGCACCACAAAAAAAACAACAACCATCAGCTCAAAAACGGCGAGCAACACGACGGCGACCAACAATGTCGCGCACACCAGCGCCAGCGTAACGAGCGGCCCCACAGCGACCGCCGCCAGAACGACCGCGACCTGCAAGGCCTCGCCGGAGAGCCCCAAGTCAGAGAAGAGACAAGCAGGACCACGCGCATATATAGCACGCGCCCAACGACAAGCACAGCAGCGACAGCAACGACCGCAGCCAGCAGCAGAACCACCAAAAGCAAGACAGCGACCAGCAACGCCCAGCGCAGCAAAACCACATCGGCGACCTCCACAAGCAGCGCAGCCTGGCAACACTGGCGGACAGCCACAGCGACCGCGCACCACAGCGAACACAACAGCCGCGGCCAGCCGCAGCGCAACAAGAGCCACCGCGACTGCGACCAGCAGAACCACCAGCAGGACGACCACTACGACCAGCAGCACCACGACACCCGCGAACACGGCGACCGGCAACACTACAAGAAACTACCGCAAGCGCCAAACAACCAGCTCACGCCAGCGAAAGACCGCGAGAGGCGCACTGTACGGCTGCCGCGGACAACACACACCAGCGAAGCCACTCACCCAGGGCCTTCCGGGCTGGCTGGCCAGCCGCCGGGGACGCCTGAACGCAGGTCTGGGGAGGCCGTCCCAGCGCCGCCGCTCGCAAAGACGCCGCCTTGAATGCCATCGGTCTCCATTCCAGGACCCTCCCTTCAGCGGGGCACCTGGCGCCCCGCGCGGGGGACAGCAGAGCGCGATGCGGCCGAGGAGCAGCCCCAGCCGCCGCGGAACAGCAGGGGCCGGAGCTGCCAGAAGCTAGCGCGATGTACGATTTGCGAGCGCAGTGACCTGACTGCGGGCGCGCGCCGCGCCGTTTCCACACGGCCTGCCCCGCACGATTCCGCCCCCTTCGTCGGGAAATTGACCGTCTGCAAAAACTCAGGCGGCGACTCCAGCCGGGTTGGGGGGAGCGGAGTGCCCGCTCTGCGACCACTGGTGGGACGACGGCCCAAGCTCCGCCACGCGGCTTGCGGAGCTAACAGAGCGCCTCCTGCGAGACGGGGGGCTGGCTCCCTTTCTGGAGGTGCCGGTGTCTGGCTTGCCCGAAACGGGCAGGAGCCCCGAGCGGCGACGAGGACCACGCAAAAAAGTGCGCAGGGGGACCCTCGTACTCCCAGAAGGGCGCGAGCCGTACGCGATTGCCCGATGCCCGCGCCAGCCGACCCGACCTCTGCGTGGGCGGCGCTCGCGCGGGCCAGATGGGCTGACAGGGAGCTGGGAGTGCCCTGTCTGCGACGTCACCCCGCCATGCGAGAGGAGGCCGCCGCAGCGCCCGTGCGGCCAGCCAGGCCAGGTTGAGTGCGTCGCCCGGGCGAGAAGGGACGCTGAAGTGCAATGGAGGTGGCAGGGGAAATAGCTATCAGGGCCGCGCAGCAACAGCACTACCCGAGCCAGAGGCCGCAGAGACCGAAAGTTTGCCAGAGCCAGGAGCAGGCGGTGGGGGCCAGGGGCCAGTTGAGGAAGTCGCCCACCAGCAGTCCAGTATCAGGGTTGCCATCACCGCGGTGCCGATCCAATCGCCCGCAAACTCAAATGTCTACGCGTCGCTTTTGCTCGCGGCAGCTGGCCTTCCGGACCCAGCCGTGCCGGCGCAGCGGGACGCGCACCGTGAACCAACGGCAGTGGCGCTCCACGCTGCACCAGCGCCGACGGAAGAGATCGCCCTGGGCCTCGAACTTATCGGTGCTCGCCCCTCGGAAGTGCGCGCCGTGATAGCCGCGGGGGGCGGCAGCCTCCCCAGCCACGTGAACCTGGCGCGGGTGGTCAGCGCCGTCGCTGCCGCCAATGGCTACAACCAGCCAAAACTGCAGGACCTACTGCAGTCGTTCGGCGGCCTGGTGCTCTCGCGGGGCGTGGACGCGCGCGCAGACGAACTGCGCAGCCCCGCGGCGTGCGCAACTGCCTTGCCGCCCCCGCCCCCGGCGCCCCAAGGGCCAGAACCGGGCGACGGCGCTGGAGGAGGGAGAGGCGCTGGAGATGACAAAGGAGGAAGAGGCGCAAGAGAAGGCAGAGGAGGCGGAGGAGGAGGAGGAGGAGGAGGAGGAGGAGGAGGAGGAGGAGGAGGAGGAGGAGGAGGACCAGGAGGAGAGGAGGAGGAGAGGAGGAGGAGGAGGGAGGAAGGAGGAGGAGAGGAGGGAGGAGGGGGGGGGGGGGGGGAGGGAGGAGGGAGGAGGGGGAGGAGGAGGAGGAGGAGGAGGAGGAGGAGGAGGAGGAGGAGGAGGAGGAGGAGGAGGAGGAGGAGGCAGGCCCGAGCAGCGGCAGCGACGAAGAGGAGGAAGGAGACGCGCCCGCGAACCACAGCGAGGGCAAGTCCAGCACAGAGGAGGACGACCGCGAGGCCGCGCCCGCGCGGGCCCCAGCCCAACGAGAAGGACCAGACGACGAGGCCTGGGCAGCCCCAGAGGGCGTCGACCTGCAAGGGGGGCTGCGCAGATTCGCACCCACGCTGTAACACGTACCGCGCTTCCTCCATGCAGAAACAAGGGCGGCCCTTCACCACAGCCCCCCGGCGGATCAAGCGCGCTCACGAGCAGGGCAACCAAGCTTGGATTCAAGAAGGATGGGGACTCTTCCACCTCGCCTCGAAGCTCCCGCTGTCCAAGCCGAAGAAAGGGCGCAGACGCCGAGGGCCGACAGTGACTCCTGGGACGCGCCCAGCGGTTTCGTGCTTTGTATATCCGAATATGGCTGTAGATGGGCACTTGCATGTTACAAAGCGCCCCAAGACCGCCCCTGAAACGGCCCCACGTGGCAACGGAGCCTTCATAATCCCACCAGCCCGCTCGGCGTAGGCGGTCTAAAGCGGATTCTCTTCCAGCCCCTCCCTATTCCCCTTCGGGGAGGGGTTGACCCCTCCCCCGACCCCCCCCCTTGACCTTGATGTAAGTTGTTACGAGGCGTTGAAGCACCAAAATGGCCCGAGATGGCTCAAGGAGGGCATCAGAGAGCCGAAGATGACCCCCAAGATGGCTCAAGATAGGCCAAGATGGTTCACTATGGCACCCAAGATTCCCTGAGAGGTCCCAAGACCGCTCCAAGGCGGTCCCGAATGGCCACGGAGCCCCCCGCCCAGGAGGCCGCCAAGAAGCCAAAATACTTCAAACACCGAAGGACCAGCAATGATGTCTGCCTTCTCGTCCTGTCGCTTCCTAGGGCCCTTTCGAGGCCTCAAAACAGCTCCGAGATGGCCCAACAGCGCCATGAGAGCCCCAAGACGGACCAAGAGCGCCCAAGAGCGGCCCAGGAGCGTTCCAAGAGGGGCCCAAGAGGCAACGTGTGGCACACCCGACGGGGGGGGCGCAATTAAAGCTCCCCCCCTTTGTGTATCGATCTCATCCAAGATGGCCCAAGAGCGCCCCAATGGCTCCCGTGAGCGCTTCAAGAGGGCCCCCAGAGGCGCCCAGGAGGTCCCAAGAGGAGCCCAAGAGGCCTCCAAGAGGCCCCCAAAAGATCCCCAAGAGGCCCCAAGAGGCTCCTCGAGGCACCCGGGACGCTCCCAACGGCCCCCAGGGCCGCCAAGATGCCCCCAAGGCGCTCCGAGAGGACTCCACAAAGCTTTCAAGAAACATCCGAGGAGACTCTGAGAGGCAACCCGCCTGGGCATTGTTTCTGGATGTGTTGGTGGGGACACTTTTTTTACAGCCGCAGGCGGAAGCGCCAGCGGCGGAAGGTCGCGAACGGGCCGCGGACGCGACTAAATTACCTAACGCGCGCAGGGCCGCGGATCAGGAAAATTGGTGGGGACACTCGAAGCGTCAAGGAATTGCCGACAAACTCGCTGCCGTAGCCGCGCCCTCCCAGTTCGCGCTGACGACGCGGGCAGGGACCGACTGCGCCGCCATGCTGCTGTGGTCAGTTCTGGACCAGCAAGACGACGCAGTGCATGTGAGTATGGATGGAATGTGGGACGTTCGACCACCTGCCGCGGTCTGCTTACTTCCAAGAGCCCCGCGCTCGCCCCGAACTGGCAAGCTTGATGCCCCGAAGATGTGGCACGGGCAAGATCCAACCGACTCGTGGCAAGACGAGGCGGGAACCGTGCACGACGTTCACCAGGGAGAGGGAGTGAAGCAGGGGGACGCGCTGGTCCCCGCCCTCTTCGCGCTCGCACTGCATGGGGCATTGGCGGGAGTTCCCGCGACCTTCGAACGGGGAGCTTCCTGTTCGCCTTCCTTGTCGACGCGCGCATGAAGACCACCCGCGGCAGCCTGCGCAACAGAGGCCCCCCGTCGGGCACGTCGGCCCGACCTCTTGCCTGCAGCTCGCAACGCGCGGCGTGGCCCCGCACCTCCCGCCCAGGCAGGCCTGCGCTGGGCCGAATCGCTAAGTCGGATCGGATCGGAAACGGGTCGCATCGCCAGCGAACCGTCCCGAATCGAATCGAGATCGGATCGCTGCGCCTGGCTCTGGCCGGCCCTGGGTCGGCGAGTCGGGCCGGGCCGAATCGAATCGACTCGGAATCGGCAGTGGCCCTCTCCGCGGGACGCCCGTTATCTTCGCCTCGGGGCCCAAAACGGGCACCACAGGCAAAGGGAAAGGTCGCAGGGAGCGTCGGCGGAGTGGGGGTGGCGGTGGCGGGTGACGCCCTGTGCCTTCGGAGTTAGCCCCCCCCCACGACGGCGAGGCAGGACCACCACAGGTTGCGCCAGGGGGCCATCATGAAAATGACGAGACCCAATCTGAAATTTCACGCGGGCGCCCGCTGCAAACATCTCGCGAAACCCGGACCGTCAAAATCCGGGACGCGCTCGTCGAAAAACTTCGGCAGACCCGAGCTCCGGCTTGCTCGAGCCTTACGCTTCCCCGACAGGTGCTGCACACCGCTGGCGAAGCGGCACGCAGGCGGCACCCCACGACGGCGAGGCAGGACCACCGCAGGTTGCGCCAGGGGGCCCGGGCGGATGGCGTGGCCCTCGTCGGGCGTGGGGCGCGCGGGCGGGCCCCTCCACGGCAGCGCTGCACGCGCACGTCAGGTCTGCGCCTCGAGGTGCGCCTGCGGGGAACGACGGGGGCCCCTCCGCCACCACTGCGGCCACGCCGGAGCACAAGGATTGAGCAGGGACCGACCGTCCCGGCATTCCTGTAGGCCTACCACGACATGTTCCTAGAACCGAAGCGTGTTCGAACAACAAAAACAATGTTCTGAGAAAGCCCGATGTGAGATCGCACAAGACACTCCCAGCCAGAAATGCTCTGAGAACATGTCGTGCAGACCACCAACAGGTTCTCAGAACAGTTCTTCGCTGGGCGTACAGGCAAGCCAGGACGCCTCGCCACTGCTTGCAGGGGGAGGTTCCCCTTGAGCGCGCTGACGCGTGGCGGCCCCGCACCCTCCTCCGACCCACGGGTTGCCGCCATCGCTCCGGCAGCACGCGTGCACGCACCAGGGCAGACACGGGGCACGGCCAGCCCCGACCACAGCACAGGTCGGCGAGCCTGCCTCTTGCGAGGCGGAGACTTCTCCATATCCACCGCCTGGGAACCGACGTCCTGGTGCCCCAGCGGGCGGTGGATACGGATACGTTTCGGCCCCCAAGGGCCCGACGATGCCCCCATGCACCGCCCGCCGCGGCCCCCGAGAACTGATCCTCTGGGCGGTGGTCATGCAGGAGCTCCCGCCTCGGGTCTCTGCCGCCGCACCAGCTCGGAGCCGCGAGGGCCGGAAGCCGCGAGCAAGGGGGGGCCGCAGCAGCGCGCGGTGGCGACGCCTCCGCCCCGCAGCGCGCCCGCAGCGCTGGGGCAGGCTCCCGCCACGACGGCGCGGGCTCCCTGGCGCGAGGGCGCGAGCCCCCCCAGCACGCCGGGCAGGCACGTGCGGCCCCGAGCAGCGGAGGGCACGCTCGAGGATGACGAGCCCACAAACCGAAGACGACAGCGGCATGGGCAAGCGGGCAGGAGGAGGAGGCGAAGACGAGGTGCGGCGGCAGGGACGGAGGGAGGGCAAAGGGGAGAGGAGAGGAGGGGGCGGCGAAGACTCCGTAGCCATTTTGGCTCAAAGTATCGCCGTGTGCGTGTGCGTGTGCGTGTGCGTGTGTGCGTGTGCGCGTGTGCGCGTGTGCGCGTGTGCGCGTGTGCGCGTGTGCGCGTGTGCGCGTGTGCGCGTGTGCGCGTGCGTGCGTGCGTGCGTGCGTGCGTGCGTGCGTGAGAGGGGGAGGAGGAGGAGGAGGAGGAGGAGGAGAGAGGAGGGAGGAGGAGGAGGAGGGAGGAGCAGGAGGAGGAGGAGGGAGGAGGGGAGGAGGAGGGAGGGGAGGAGGGAGGTGTGGGAAGGGGGAGGAGGAGGAGGAGAAGGAGGGGGAGAGGAGAGGGAGGATGATGATGTTTATGATGATGATGATGATGATGATGAGATGAGATGATGATGACATGAGGTGATGATGGTGGGTGATGATGATGATGAATGATGATGATGATGATGATGTGCTCATGATGATGATGATGATGATGAGAATGAATAAGAGGATGAGGAGAAGAGGAGGAGGAGAAGGAGGAGGAGGGGGAGGAGGAGGAGGAGGGCGACGACGACGAAGGGAGGGAGAGAGCTGGCCGACGCGAAGCGCCCCTTTTATCGGCATCGGGCCGAGCGGCGCGCTCTGGCGAACGCGTGGCCGCGTGGGCGGCCGCCGCGCGAGGGCGTGCCAGCGCAGAGGGGGGGGTTCTCTCGCAGCACAGTGGCTTCCCGCAGTCCATTCTCGCTGCAGCATCTCGCAAGAGGAGGCGGGTCAGGAGGAGGAGGCGGAGGAGGAGGGGGCGG